CTGCTGAAGGCATTTCCTCACCGCGTCCCAGGGAACACAAGAGAGATCCCCAGATCCATGAATGCCAGGGCACAGGGAAAGGAGGGTGTTTTGAGGCATTGGTAGACATGAATGTTTTCAGGAGGCCTCAGTCTTCCCTTCTCACTGCCAAGGAACCTAACAGTGCCTGTCCGACACAGATAGACCTGGTCTTCCATCCTGTCCATGGGCACAGTCCTGAATCCCACACTCTGAGCAATGGGGTGAGGCTGGTTCCACAGCAATTGTCCCCCCCAGCACTGACCTTGGGGACAGTCTAGTCTTCAAAGCTTCGTTCCTGTCCATATTCTGCCATGTGCTGGAAACAGCTGCCATGTGATGGCTGGGCAACAGGATGCCTCATAGCTCTGCTGTCAGCATATGGGATTACAGGAAAGGTAAAGGAAAATATATTTGGGAACTGTTAATGAGCAGAGATTAATGAAACCTTGGATAACCCCTTTTGCTAATTGATATGATTGGCCCAGTCACTGCAGTCGATTAAAAGGCTTGAGTAGAGATTACCACCAAAGGCCTCCCTTGCTTCCAGCACTTTCTTAATAGCCCATGCCTGGAGGATTAGCTGTCTTGTGGTGATGTAGATGGCTCCCCTCACCCCCCGCCCCTCTCCAGCTTCCCGCAAACTCTCTGTACCCAAGTCCATCGAGACAGCTGGTGGTAATGCTCCCTCCTCAGTGGAGCAGAAGCTGCCTTATCCAGGGTATGTCTGCCTAACTCACCTGAAGCAGAGGAGCTCAGGGAATGTCTCTGGTCCTCAAGCATTTAGTCCAAGGAACATGAACCTGGGTTTGGAGGAGCAGAGACTTCCTGCATGTGTCCACTGGTATTCCTATACCAGCCCATCTCTAGTTTTGACCTGCTTGTGTTCCTGCTGGGAGGCTGCGTCTCCCAGCCCATGTCTCTCAAACGTGTCCCTGCAGACCAGCCACTCATAAGCAATAGCTTGGAGGTGTATGAGGTCTGGGCATCAGTGCATGCCTGTGGTGGGTCAGGAGGAGGGTTGGTTTTGCCAGAAATGTGAAGGTCAAGCAGCAAGGGCAGAAGCAAACATGTATAATTAAATGTTCTTCCTTTTTTAGCTCCCAGAGGAAGAAGAGGTTGGAAGAAATTTTATGCTGTGCTTAAAGGGACCGTCCTTTATTTACAAAAGGTAACCATGGTGGACTATCCCATTTGCTGTTTCATGCTGTCTCCAAAGCAGTCATGCTGTCCTAAGCAGAGACCCATAGATGCAAGTAGAGCTGAATCCATGTCCTAATGCATGGAGCTCCTCCAGAGACCAGTATACAGAACTGGTGGATGCCATCATCTCTGGTGGTGGTGGTCATGCTAAGGGCACTATTCACAGCCTCAAGAGAGGGCCAGTCAGGGAGAAGTATGAAAGAGGGAACATTGAGGCAAGATTTCTGCAGAAGCGTCCCAGCAAATAGGAGCTGTTGGGGAGGATGAGTGAACAGATGATATGGAATAGGTGAAATAGGATGTTGGTGAGACATGCAATAGGAAGCTGAAGAGGCGGAGCATCAGACCAGTCTTATCCTGCCTATTGTTTTATTTGCTGGCATAGATGTGATTAAGAGCAGCTTCACTGAGTCTGGTATGGACTGTGCTTAAAGTTTCTCTTCTCCTTCAGGACCTTGCTGAGCTGGGTCCTTCCAACCCTATCACTTGGGTTGCCAAGTGATACTTTCTGCCTCTCTTCATCTCTGTTCGTTCTGTAGCCACCTCTAGTCAACACAAGTATAAATCCCAGGTCATCATGGGAGGCAAAGTCACCATGGAAGAGCTTCCCTGCATACTATAGCATTCAGCTCTCTGCTTTTCAAGACACTTGGATGCCAGGAGGATTTCTGTGGATAGTCTTTTCTGTGGGAAAATCCAAGGAGCCTGGATAGGGGCTCGCTTGGATGTCAGTGTGAGCCAGCCAGAGGTGCCAAATGTCTTTCATCATGCAACAGTGTAACCCACTGAACTAGGTCTGAACTACCTTAGTAGCACATGCTGTGCAGTAACCCATTGAACTCGCCTTGCTGGAACAGCACTCCCTGTGGGTAGATGTTCCTACGTATTGCAGTATTATCTCCAAAGCAATGAGAGTAAACAAACATTGGATTATATAAGAAAGGCAGAAAGATCCTCAGGGCAGCATGGAACTATGACTCAGAGCTCATAGCACACCCCAGTGATTCTTGTGTTTTGCCAGATCCTATGGCACATGTCACAAAGCCAACAGAAATCTGGCAGCAGCCGATCGTAATTTACAGTATGGGTTGCTCTTAGCCAACTGGTATTTTTACAGCCTTGCTACTCTCTCCTGCAGCTGAGGGAAGCTGCAGCATACAGGAGAGCCCAGATCTTCTCCAGCCCTCTAGGTGTGGTGTTCTTCAAGTCAGTGGCACTCTTACATCTCAGTCTCCTGTCTTGTTACAAGTCTCCACATGGAGTCCACCGAGGAGGTCCTCATGCTGACCACGGGTGGTGCATGAGGGTTTAACTTGTACAGAGCTACAATCAACATTTAATTTTATGCCAGTTTTTCTATGGAAAAAAAAAAAAAAAAGCGGTTTCCTCGAAATCACAGGAACAATTTAGATCTAAATGAATTTTTCACCAAGGACTTCTAGGGCATGTCTCTTGGGATGAGTCTGTTGTGGGGGTATATATTTAGAATGAAATACACTTTCAGGACGGAATTTTCTTCCCATGCTAGACCAAAATCCAGTTTACTGAAGATTTTCTTGGCTGCTTGGACGGCACTAGAAGGAGCTGTGAAGCCAACACTGAGTGTCATTGCTGCTGATGGGGCAGAGGGTTTGGGTTTTCTTTGCTGTACAAGGCTAGCAGCAGTAACCATCCAGACTGCTATATTAACATAGTTTGTTAGGTTAGTACTAGGTGTTTAGAATTTAAAAAGAGAGTGAGGATGAGATTGACGTGGCAGTTAGAAGACCAATGTTCTTATCTAGATGCCCTTCAGGAGCAAATGGTTAAGAGACTGAGGGCTTTTTTTACAGACAAGGACTGAAGAAGCAAAACACCTAAGATTTGGCTAGGTTATGAAACTGTCTGGTAAGTAACAGCCATGACTGATGTGTAATTAGCAGGAGGGACCGGAATGGCCAAGGGTGCCCCAAGGTTGGAACAACAAAAATTAACCTGAGGAACATTTGGGCAAAGAATTTGGGCAAAGAAGAGTTTCTTAGTCATGAGCTGCTGCCAGACTGTATATGGTCCTCTTCAGAGGATTCCTTGGGTTGGGCTTGGCTGTAGACAGTGTCTATCAGGCTTGCAGAGACAGGCCAGAGGATGAGACCACAAAGACAAAGTCCTTGCCCTGCCACTTCCAAACATTGCCAGCACCACAACAGAGAGTGGATAAACATCCACCTGCTCTGTTGATTCTTAGTGCAATTTCTTGCCTAGGGGGTGGTTTGCAGAACAAGAGAGTTGCACAATGCAGGAAGGAAATGGTGCGCCAGCCTCCCAAGCTCTCAGCGGAAGATGCCTGCAGATAAACATAAGGTAGAACCTGGCTTGAGCACAAATCACTGGGAAAAGATTTTCTGATGTGAAGATAGAGGAGGAAGTACCTGCTTCCAGACCCACCTGATGCCATGGAGCACAGGTTCAGCCTGTTCCAGTTTTTCGCTCAGACCAAACCAAGGATCTAGGCTTTAATAGGAAATTCCCATAAGTTTAATAGGAAACTCTACTCAATTTGGTTTTGGGGAGCAAGTTGAGTAGAAATAAGAGTGAGAGAGAGAGGGAAGGAGGGGGGGAAGGAGGGCCTGGGGAGATAGATGTGTAGAAAGGAGGAATGGCCAGATACAGAGCGAGATGGACATAAGATAGGCAGAAGAGTGGGTGGGTGGGTGGGTGGGTGGACAGGTAGAATTCAGTCTGTTAGAAGCAATTCAGGCAGCAGCCATAAACCTGCTGAGGTAGAGACGTCACATGTCATTGGCTCGCCAGTGTTAATTGCTGGACTAGCGTGTTCTAGCATAGTCTGCTGAAGCAATTGCTTGATCCCCTAAAGGGATGCAGCACAGTCTTGAGGAAGAAATGCAGGCTTGGGAGCAGGGCGCACCTCTCCTGCGCTCTGATCTGCACTGGGCACTGACTCACTCCATGGCCTTTGGCAACTTACTTCACCTCTGTGAAATGGGGATAATAACCCTTAATCACCACACATAGAGGGGTGTTGAGAGGAATGATGGAGAGCTATAAAGCATGAGGTGCTTTTATATGGAAGTACTGGAAAGGGTGCAGGTCTTCCCTCAGGGTCTGCCCTTGCAGCCCCCAACCGTGAAGGGGTTCCCAGCGCAGCCCCGAGCCACGGATGCTGTCCCATGCAGGCAGGTCCTTGCCATGGTAGTGCTACTTGGAGCGCCAAGTTCATGACCAGACTGGAAAGGGCACAGTGGTTAGTTGTCCTCATTAAATGATTTGTTTAGGCTGGTAGATGTGAGCTGAAGAAAAGGAAAAAGAGGAGAACCCACTCACAAGCCAGAGCATGAGAAATCTCTGCAGCTCCATGTCCATACTCACATCATTGCTCAGGGCTGGTGCTGAGTCCAGAGGAGAGGGCAGCAGGACCAAGACACTGGGCTCTCTCACCCCATCCAGGTGCCCTACAAAGGCAGGCATGAGACCGATGCCTTTTCTTGACAAAACAAGCTTTGAGCTCGGGAGCTCATATTAGTTGTGGATCTCCCACCACCCGCTCGCAGGGGTGGGCAGTCGGGGAGAGCTGGCATCAGAAGGGTGAACCAAAGACACCATGGAGCACTGCCATGGCAGAAACTAAGCCCAGGCAAGGCGGTGGTCATGCATGTTTAAGCAGAGTCTTTGTTGCAGGCAGGAGAGGCACATGAACCGAGAGTCTGTCTACACCATCAACATTAAAAGCTGAAAGTGAATGAAATGAATTTAGAGGGATTCCGAAACAAAGCGTCCACACCTGGGCTCAATTCGTGCAGAAGACATCCCCAAAACAGACCCTGAAAATTGCTGACCCCACCATCCTACAGCTGGAGGAGCAAGGGAAAAATAAACATGTCACCATTGAAGGGCTGGGGACTAAGGGTAACTGGAATAGTGTGGCACAGCATACCTTGCCCATTTCCCAGTGACAAGTACCTGTGTGAACAGTGCGGGACACAGAAGACAAAAATTCAACAGCCCTGTGATACTAAATTAACCCCTTTGCCAGGAAATGTATGGCAGGATAACACCATCAAAACATGAGAGTGAGGTTAGCAGTACTATAACGTAGACAAAACTTTGCCTGAAGTTCCTCCAAATATGATACTGCTTATGTTTTAGTGTAAATCAGTTTCTTTGAGATTTAAACCAGAATCCCTTCACTGAAAGCGTCTGTGTTACTATTATGTTTTTGGACACATCTCTTCCTCAGCAGCAGTTTATGCACACACTTAAACTTACATCAAAGCTCAGAAAGGGAGTGAGACAAAATGTAGAGAAGCTGCTGGAGGCTTCGGAGCAGAGCTGACATGTTTTGCTGAAGGACAATGGGATTATTCTCCAGGGGAAGGTTACGTGGTGTAGCCTACACTACAGTGTAAGTGCAGGGCACTGTGGTGGCTCCAGCCGTGTGTGCGTGGCATCATACATAGCCTTGGAGCTGTTTGCAGAGGGTGCCTGTTTAAGAGCACACAGAGGTCTGCCAGCATCGGCAGCCATACATATCATCATGACTACCACAGCACGGGCATTAAGATGAGCTTTCTGGCAGAGCTGGCCTGTGCAGAAGTGAGCCTCCAGCACCATGCACTCCTGCAAATGCAGCCTGTTGCCACCAGCAGGGAGGCAGAAGGTAGAGAGAACCTGTTTGATTCAACCTTATGCTGATTTACTGGGCCCAGTGTTAGAAAAAGAAGAAAATTTGGCTTTTCCTTACACCTACATTGATGCCTGTGAGCCTGAAATCAGTAGAGGCAATACATGATGATACCATTCGAGGTGAAGATCTGCATTAGTCAAACCAGTTTGCAGCCATGGCAGTTTCTCCTTGTCACATGCCATTAAGCCTAGCTATTTGCACTGTATTTTCAGAAAGCTTATCTTGAAATAAGAGATCATGGGCATCAGAGTCAGATTTATTCAGATCCAAAGAGCTTCAGCCTTGGAAAAACATCCAGAATTGGAAGTCTCTCTACAATATATGAAGCCTGAGCACCAATGTCTTCCTCAAGCAACTACTTCTTTCCAAGTGGGGGAACATATTAGGTCCTCATAAGGCAAAGCATTTGTTTTCCTTTGTTAAAAGGCTAATAGCCCATTCCTCTGGCTACTGAAGTCCCCGCTGTGGAAAGATCATCTCTACTGCCCCGCAGCGCAGCCCATCTGAATGTCACCCTGAAGACAGGGTGCCTGCAGCACCCACCCCTTCCCCTGCTGGAAAGCCAGGGCTTTTCTTTGGGGTTCACCCTTAAGAAAGCGGTTGCATGAGCCAGGAGCCCATGCCAGACGTTTCTGGGCTCTGGGCCCCATGGCATTTCTTTGCACAAGGCCAAGTATCACGTGCCGGTGAACACAGTATGGCAATCACTCTCCTGGATGGTATGATTGCTTCAAAAAAGGAGGGAAGGAAAGGCTTCAGAAGCTTACTTCCCATCGGGAGCAAGGGTCTGGGTGAGACACATCCATGGGCTGGGGAGTGCTGGTCCCTGGTGCTCTGAAGAGCAACAGAGGGGAGACCTTTCTGACCCTACACCAGAGAACAACCTTACTGACCAGGGTTAGCAACCAGGAGACTGTAACATGGCTTTTCCCTGAACGGCTGGATTTGTACCACCAGGACACAGAAAAAAAACCCCATCTTTTTGCAAATCTGCAGAACAGACCAAGCTTCAGCTTGAAACCTAAGAAAGGGCTGGGACACATGGACCACCACCATTGGATAGAGCCACCCCTGTGCTGCAGCCAAGGACAGTCAAGGAAAGCAAAACATAAGAGCGAATTAGTCCCGTAGGTTTGCACTGTAATCAGCAGGGCAAGGCAGGCCCTTCCAGGGACACCCGGTCCTGACATGGCCTCTAACATGGTCGGGGGTGGTGGGGTGGTGGTTTGTTTTAGCTAGGACCAGGTTTTCTTACATCCATCTATCCACGCGGGCATGCATCCATCTATCTGTCCATCCTTCCATCCCATCATCCGGCTGGACCAGCTGTTGAGCTGCAAAGGGTGCAGAGTGGGAGGGAGGGTGTCACTTTAAGTGGCTGGGAGCTCCGTCACCAGGAAAACAAAGGGTAAACACAGGATTGATTGAACTCCTTTTTTTCCTAAAAAGTGCTGTGCCAAGATCATCCTTTCAGAATCCCATGTTCAGTGTTTTCTATCTGTTTATAAAATATATTCATATATAGTTAATGCTACATTCCCTACTTGTGTGAAATTGTCCTTCAGTGGAGAAAGTAAAGCAGGAATACAAGGAATGCTGCTGCAATTTGCAAGTGCCAGTCTAATGAATTACATGAGAGACCATGCCAAAGGGTCACACACACTAAAGAGAGACCAAGCGTCGTTCAGGTGGGCCATGCTCAGTCTGGCACCTGCCCAGCAAGCCCCACACCTGCCCAGAGGTGCACTGGCTGCAGG